CGTACTCTACCTCTATTACTTTGACTATAGTTGTGATACCAGCCTCACCCTTACTATCCTTATCCTTCATTCTGAATGCAATTTTTTCTTTGATTCTATGCTCAAGACTACTATTTACGAAATATTTTTATTCCTCAAGCACTCCTCAAACTCTTTTTGCTTGTAGCATTTATTAAACCCTCTAATATTCTAGGTAATAAGATTCATGCTTGGATATGATAAGAAGATGTGCCCCCGAATCTACCTCTCCATTCCTCTGTTCCTTCCTTGATTTAGTCATACATCCTGCCTTTTGTAACTAGGAATTTGTCTTATCCAATGGACAAAAACCATTTACAACATTCAACTCATGTCGCCCACCGCTTTGCACTCCCTTAGCAGCTGATTTGCCTCTGACGGTCTGCCACTGTTCATCTTGTATTTGGCTAGAATTTACTACCCTCGCTAGGGAGAATTTTTATTTTGTATCTCGTACAATTGGCGCTAGTTGTATGAGGCATCTTTTTGTCTCACAGTTTTGTGGACCCAGATTTTTGTGGACCCAGAAGTGTAAGATTGGGGTCCACAAATTTGTGAGACAAAAAAGAGCCTCATACAACTAATGTCAGTTGTGTGAGGCACACCATAAAACTTCTCCCTCCTTGAGGTTCTGCATTACAATAGTCCCAGCCTCTCATTTTTGCATCTTTTTGTTTTCTATCACAACGAGCATTCGTACTCGCGCGTTGCGCGAAAAATGAAAAAAATAAAATAATTTTTTTTACTTGAATAATACGATGGACACAAAGGAGCATGAAAGAAATATGATTTTGTAATTCATTCGTTATATATGTTAGGTCTTGTTGCTCTTCATATATTTACATACATAATCGACACACATTGTGTTTTCAGACAAAGAAAAAATCAAGATAGATCGCATACATAATTTACTTAAAGCTTCTAGCCAATACTGTAAAGTAAATTTTTGGGCTTTATCATTCTTAGATAAACCTTTGCCTATCTGCATGAAGAAACGAAAATGTTAGAAACTAATTACTTATAGAATTGATGTGATCCAAATTTCTTTGACAGCTCTAGTTTCTCGCTCTTGACCATCACGAAATTGATGTCTCATGCTTCTCGAGATCAAGAAATGAAATAGAAGTGTGTTCGACTTATGCCAACTGTAATAGCTTCCACCTGTAACAAATCGAAAAGGGTATCAGAAAAAATTAAAATCAATACAACTTTATTTTAACAGAAAGGAAATCAAAATACATACCAAATATGCTGAACGAATACTGTAATATATGGTAATTTTTNCAAATATGTTGAACGAATACTGTAATATATGGTAATTTTCGTCTCGTCCAAAAGCTTTTGCATACTTTCTCTAAAATTATAGTTGTATCATATTTTGTGCTGCTACTATATGCCAAAAGCTGTAAGATTTTTCATGATTTTCTTTTAAGGATAAGGACTTGACAGACTTATCAGTTTGGGAATATTAAGCAAGTGTTTGTAATGGACTGTGCAAGCTTGCTAGAGAAAAGTAGTTGTACGAAAATAAATGTGCATTTTCAATCAACATTTTATGGTCCTTAAAAACACACGTTTCATAAAGAGATACCACCTGAGTTGAGTAAATTCCAATTAAATGAGCTTCCTGCTCATTAGTTGCAGCTTCAACAATACATAAGTTTATGAACTCATCATGTGTACCTCCAAGTTGAGAATAAATGCTAACTAAATCATCTTCTTAATGCATAAATCCATAGCATAAAAATTTAAGATATATCAATCAAAAATTATCCCGAGCACTTCTTAGAAATAAAATTACATCAACTTTATTATTTGAACCGGAAAAGAAGGAATACCAAAGAAGATGGATAAATAGTACTAATTATAACAAAATTGTTGACTTTAATAAATTTTTCAATCAATCGTCTTCCCTACTAACTTAGAATACATTGATCATTTGTGGTTTATAAAATCTGAATAACTAGGATATTGTACTAGTACAAAAAATAGTACTAAAAGAAAGGCATGTTAGAGCTCAATTGATTTGTGTTTTCAATTTTAAATTTTCTGAAAAAATCAACTAGCTTGTTCATGTTCAACCTCTTTCTCCTCACACAACCAAACAAGCTTTGACAGATAAATGCTATTCTAAAATCTATATTATAAAAAAAGTTAATAAATAAAATTTATTTTAGTTCAACCCCATTTTCACCTTGAATTGGTCAAACCAGCTTTTCTATAAACAACTATAGATCTAGAATATAGGAACAATGAAGTTAAATAACTATAAGAATAATTCTATATAAAAAATATGCTATAAAATTAATAGTTTGTTTAATTTAAAACCATACCATAGATTCGTCAATTCCAAATTAGAAAAGATACAAAGATGTGAATGATCATCGACAATCAAAGCCATAGACCCAACTAATAAGAAAGTTTTAAACAACCCAACACCCACACAAGATAGAGATAGAAATTTATAAACTCTTTTGGTTGTTATGGTGGCCAGCAATTTTGGTTGCCGATGCTAGCGGGTGAGATTTTTGTAGTATAGGGTTTTTCAATTAAGGTAACTCCTGATTTTTTTTTTTATAGTCTTTAGACTAAATTGAGAGGGTATATATTTAGGCGGGAAGCTATTTAGAGGAAAAAATAAAAATTAAAGGCAATACTAAAAGCAAAAACAATAGTTTTACTATATGTTCTCTTGAATGACAAATAAAGATATACTAATTACTCGTTAATTTATTGGCCGCCAATATTTGTCTTCCATGAATATATTAGCGACAATTAGTTTATTGTTATAAGCAATTGTCACTAACTCCTCTTTTTATTGTAGTGCTTGGAAATTCCCCTTTTCTTTTTAGGAGTTTCTTATGCATTAAATAATTTTTTTTCAGTTTCTATTTACTTTCTAAAATTGTTAGAATTGGTAAACTAAAAGAAGATGTCTGGAAATTCAGATGAGTAGTGACAGGTAGTCAAAAATTGAAGTGATAATACTTTAGAAATTTGCGTGTTAGTCCTCTCAATGCGCTGAATTGTCATGATAGGCCTATTCGTAAAACTGTTAATTTTTAAAAGTCTCAAGTATTTATTTGTTTTAAATTAGACGTTTACATAATTCAACACATGCAAAATGAGAATATGTCATGCTTCTCATTTGTCATTTGCCAATTAGACTGGGAAATTTTTGTTCTGGCATTTGAACAAATAGCAACTTTGTATTGGTTAAAATTTGACCGTCATGACTGAACTAACAAAGTGACTGGGTAGTGAAAGATAGCGTAGCCCACTCTGCGTCTCTTTCCCGACACCCGTCGAGTCGGAAGAAACAGCGCCTAAAAGGACGACCGAGACATATTGGAGGCAAGAGGGTGTCGGCCCAAGTAAAGGACAAGGGTGACTTGACTATATATAGTAGGGAAAACCTTCGATTAAGAGGGTTGCTCCCTCCTTTCTCTCTCTGAAGCTCTCTTCTTGTATTCTTGATAGGAAGGAAGTAATCCATAGAAGAACATGTAAAGTTATCCCCATCGATCGATGGGAGACACAATATTGAATTTCAATAAGATCATTTACATCCCTTTTATCCTGTATGCGATCCATACTACTAGTTCTTTGATCTGGAATTAATTATGTCTCACTAAGATTTACCCCTTCATCTTCTTTGATTGATTTGTTCAAAAAGGTATCGATATCTTTTGAGTCAAACAATCTTGTTTTTTCATTATTTAAGATTTGTTCTTTTATGTATTTTTTAATGTTCCTTCAATAGAAAATAGGCAGTCTCTTGCATGGTCTCCTCAAACTCTTTGGTTGTCTTTTGGAGTATTGTAGACATGTGATTTTTGACCCTCCCCAAGGTTTTACATATTTTAGCCTTTAAATACTTAATTTAGGTCTAATATAGTTCTTTCGACTAATTTTAACTCTTTTATATTATCTTTATCACAAAATTAAAAAAATACAAAAATAAATAGTTCTATATTTCTCTATTTAATTCACGCATTAGGTATTTTAGAAAGGTATATTACTTTGAACCTATTTTATTTTAATATAATCTTTGAAAATAAAAAAAATAGTTTCATATTTTATACTATATAATTTAGTTCAATTAATTAGATTAATTTTTGTATTATGTAATATATTATCTTATATTAAAAGAAATTTAAATAAGATTTGGACATTTATTTCTTTTAGACAAGAGGAGTTGCTCTGATGGTAAGCAACCTCCACTTCCAACCAAGAGGTTGTGAGTTCGAGTCTCCCCAAGAGCAAGGTGGGAAGTTCTTGGAGGGAAGGATGCCGGGGTCTATTTGGAAACAACCTCTCTACCTCAGGGTAGGGGTAAGGTCTGCGTACACACTACCCTCTCCCGACCCCACTAAGTGAGATTATACTGGGTGGTACCCTCTCCAGACCCCACTAAGTGGGATTATACTGGGTGGTTGTTGTTGTTGTTGTAGACCAATATTAAGGTCCAATTTCTTTCTTCTCTGACTCATAAGCCCATACCCCCAACAAAAGGGGGAGAAATTTAAAAATAGTCAGATTTACAACTGGTCATTCAAAAATAGCTACAATTTCAAAAGTAATCGAAATTTAGCCATTATTCATGTAAAGATGAATCTGAGCGAAAACACTGTTCAAAACCCGGAAAATACGCCCGTATATTTTACTGGAGTTCCAGCATAAGTATGCTTGAACTCCAGCATATTATACGGGAGTTCCAGGATAACTATGCTGGAACTCCCGTATAATATGCTAGAGTTCCAGCAAACTCCAGTAAAATATACGAGAGTTCCAGCAAGTATAAATGTCCAGTATAATATACTGGAGTTTGGAGCACCAGTGCTCCAATCTCCCGTATATTATACATGAGTCAGCAAAGTGTACCGGTCCAGCATAATATGCTGGAGTTCGTACACAGATGCACCCGAACTCCCGTATATTATACGGGACCGGTCTCTGTTGCAGCAAATAGTGGCTATTTTTCATTGATTTCATAAACGGTAGCTATTTTTGATTGACCAGTCCGAAAACTGGCTATAGCAACAAAAGGACCATCAGATTTTTGAACCTAAAAAAGAGACAGCCGTTGCCCTAGCTTCTTCTTGGTGGAGACAACAACAAAGACTCTAGCAGAACCCTAGACTCAAAACACCATCGCCACTGCATCTTCCTCGTCTCAACACCACCATCTCCATCTCCCTCACCAACAACAACCAGCGACCAACCTTCCATCAACCAGAATCGCTGCCGCCGGCTGCTCAACCAAAACCCGCCGGAACTCCACAAAAAAGCCACCGCAGAACACCAAACGATCCCTTCTTCTTCGAAATAGCGGCGGCAGACCTGAGACCAGTTGAAGCAACGAAACTCCTTTCTTCACCAAGCAGCTTCAGCCGTTTCCAGCCGCCGGACCACCCCCATCGCCGCTCTTCTTCTTCACCTCACACCATCGGACATCCCTTCTTCTTGACACCTTCAAAACAGCGGCACCACCAAAAGCCATCGTCTCCAATCCCTGAAGTGAAGTGAACGAACAGAGGGATATAGAAACATTAATTAAAGGCTTCAGTTTCGGATCTTATCGCCTTTTCTTCTTCTTATTTCCCCATCTCTTTGAACAATCATAGAACAATTAAAAAGTAACTAGAGAAGGCAGAAATCGAAAATAAGAGGTCGAAAGTTTTGTGAATTCGAGGTGAAATTCCGGTTTCTGTTCCGTCGTTCGATCTTTTTTGCTGATTGTTACTCCGTGGAGTTCCCGTTGACGGATTCTTTCTTTTTTCTCCTCGCTGGATCGAGTGTAAGGCTGTTGAAGGAAGTTCTGCTATTGAAAACCATTTAAAGGTCCACTTCTATCTTTAATATCTTACCTCTTGATTTTTGTCACATATGTGTTTGGATGGTTGATTCAGATGGTTTCCACGTTTGTTTGTGATATCTTTTGATCCTTTGATAAATTTTCTTGAGTTTGATGGTTAGATTTGCTAATGACGTGAAAGTGACAATAAGAATGTCTTTCTTTGTGGTGTTTTTATGTTACTGATTCAACCGAATGTGATTTAGCTTTAATGAAGGGAGAGGTTCCAACTTGAAAACTTATTCTGAATTGATTTCATTGTTTGGGTTGCGGGGTAAAAAAAAAAAATTAAAAGAAAATTCAGGTTCAAGATAATCATATTGTTCTTTTATTCTTGTTTTATTAACTTTCCGGGTAGAAGTATGTTTAGGCCGTCATTACTTGGGTAGGCAAGCCATAGGATTTTCTTAGTATCGAGGCGAGAGGTCGTTTCTTTTAGTTTATTATCCGGGGATGCCCCGAATGATTTGTGTATATTTTTATTCGGGGTATGCCCCGAGGTATTTGTAAATGGATGCCAAAAGTAGAAACTTGTAGTATTTTTATTTTATTTTCATTTTTCTTTTTCTTTTATTTAGGTAGGAACAACCTCGAGCCTCTTGTGTGTTTATTTTTCTTTCCATGTGTTTTCTACCTCAATTGAATATTTTAAAAGCCGACTAGATCAAGTATGCAACCGTACTAGTCACGGGACTTGGGGAGTGCCTAACACCTTCTCCCCGAGTCAAATGAACCCCCTTACCCGAATCTCTGGTGCAGACTTAGTTTTGTAGTCTCAAGTGTTTTAAAAGGAAAAATTATTTTTAGAAAAACACTGATCTGACACACTAAAATCAAATGTCAGGTGGTGACTCTGAGTTAATCCTTTTGAACACTATCTTTTGTCACTTTCAAAATTGAAAAATCCTTTAAGCTTTACTAAATTCCTTTTTATTAATTTAAGAGGGTTAAGTGAAGTGGTTAAAAAAGGGGTGTGACATCTCTGGCGACTCTGCTGGGGAGTTGCAGGTTCGAGCTGGTACTTGATCTTGTTGGCTTTTAGGATATTCGGTTGAGGTGTTTGTTTTCTTTATTTGCTTTGTTTATTTGCTTTGTTTGTCTTATTTCCTTGTTTTGTTGGTTATTGGTTTATCGTTTTTCTTAATGTGTTACTGCTTTATAAGCTGTCATCATTTGCATAACCATGGGTCTTCGTTCTGCAACAAGTTTCGGAGTACGCGTCGCGTGCACGAATTCTTTGTTGAGTCACCCTTAATTTAGGAGGGGGGCTGTCGGACATATGAAGTGGGTGGAAAGCTTGAGCAGCCACCATCGACCATACGCTCCCCCGAATTGCTTTGTTAGTGAAACCCAAACTTAGGTCAGCCTTTAAGACATTTTTATTTGCATAATGTCATTTAGACTTAGTAGGGCTCGGTTCTAGGTACTGTGTCCCTTTGTATGAAGCCTATCCAAATTTTGTCAAAAGGGGCCGGTGGCCCAAAAAGACATTCAATCATCCCTATGTGATACATGTTGCATATTTGAGGGTAAAAAGATTGGCGGACCGATGCTTGGGAAAGAAGGGTAAAAAATGTAGCAAGTAGGGCCCAGTTATATTTTTCTTTCACAACTTTTTCAAAAAAAAAAAAAAAATAGAAAACGAAAAATCCAAAAAAAAAAAAGATTTTGCACTTTCCCATCATTTTCCAAAAATCCAAAAAAAAAAAAGAGTAAAAGAAATCCAAAAAGATTTTACATTTTTCATCATTCTTAAAACAAAAAAAAAAGACAAAAAAATATAGCTTTTCTAAACTAGTTGCATTTTTTTTCCAAAGCTTTCTTCCATGTCCAATTTTCCCGAACTACGCGAACCTGATTCTCGTCTTTCGGGGCAGGATACGTAGGCAACCCACATAGGGTCCGGTCTTCTTAGTAAGTCTTAGGTTCTTGGCTTCGCGGGGTCTTAGCCAAATCTTGCATGTCTAGCCACTTTTGGCCACATCGACCATTCTTGCAAAAATGGGGTCATTTGCGCAAAAGTGGTTCAATTACCCATGTCTTAGGATTCTGAGTCCACAACTAGGTGCCATATTACTTTGAGGTCCATCCTCTTTGAGTTTGCATCTTTAGCCACTTCTGGCCATATTGGCCATTTTTGCAAAATGGGTTATTTCTGCAAATTAATTTTTTGGGCCATGATTATTGGGAGTGTGTATCTGAGTAGTCATCCATGTTGAGTTTTCAAAAATAGCCCAATCATGTCTTGCATGTGTCCAATAGGAGGTGTTGTGGTCTCACTTAGTGTCTCGAGTCGCTAATCTATTTGGTCTTATTTTTATCATTCAGGTATGGATTCATTTACTACAGCTCTAGCATGAGAGATACCTCAGGACCATTGCATGAACGAGCTGTTTGAGGAAACTTTTCATTTTCAATCTATTTTATGTTTTTAAAATTTTTAGTCTTGTACAGTAGTATCGAGTCTGTCAGTCTAGTTAAGACTGTCGAATCTTTTGTTATAGTACTTGCTTCTATTCTTTTCTAGGTTCCTGTCTTTGGCTGCTCCTTTATTTCCCAACTCCTCTAACAAAGCTAGATCGCATCACCTCCCTCTGCCCGTTGATCATATCTACCTCAACTATTGCTTCCCCACCTTATAGCTCGAAATCAATTACTAGTCATTTTAGGTGAAATAATAGTTTTGGACACGTGTTTTCGGGCGAAGAAGAAGTGCGAGATAGAGAGAGGAGGTTGGTCTTTGAAAAGAGAAGAAGAGGGAGATTTATGAATTCCTTGAGTGGGTCTGTGGTGACACTCGTGGATGACATTGATCCTTGAAATTGTCGAGAAAGTACACAATTGTAGGTTTTCTCGTGAAATTGGGAAAAGAGTCAAAGACCCAGTTCAGCTGTTAGCGTACAGATTGTTTTAGTTGCGATGAGTTCAGGAAATGTGGGGTGGCTGCCATTGATGAATGTTGTTAAATTTAAGGGAGTGCCAATTCTGCAGCAATTGCATTTGGAGGAACGGTTACTCAGGACTTCACCTCAAAACTGGTGTATTGTAAATGATGGAACCAATGAACCCACAATTGTCATGGGTATTTCAGGGTGAGCTATCAATTTTCACCCTATTTATGGTATGACTCTTTTTTTCCATAGTAGTACTTTTGCTAGAATTGTTTCTTGATTGTTTTTATTGGCGGGTTCATTATACAACTTGTTTTGACGATTGGATTTGCACTTTCCTTCTACTTCACTAATTAATCTTTCACCATCTTTAAACTATATAGTGCTTGTGGGAAATGGTGGAGTCAGGAAGGGGATTCGAAAAATACGAACCTAAAGCAATTTAACATATCTGTGTCATAAATACACTGATAATGAGGCCAGTTTTTCCACTTTTTGATATTGTTTAGGCTGTATATTCTTTGGAGCTAAGCTATCAGTATTAACTGCACTGCTGTTGTGCAAGTTCTGATCTATCAGCTTACAATTGATGCAAGAAGTTATGAGTACTTGATGTATGCCATGGCCGTAATGATAGGACATTTTTTGTTTTATGTCTCTAATTGAGTTAATTGTATAACAACATTAACCATTGTCACAGAAAACCAGCTGAACTTCTTGAAATCGGTTCTGTTTTGCAAGACAAGATTCCAGTAGTAAAGAGGTTTACTGGAGGAGGCACTGTAATAGTCGATCACAGGACANCCTCCCCCCATCTCTCAAAAAAAAGTGTAACCTTGCTTTTATGTCAAAAAAAGGGACTTGCTTTTAAACTTTGTTATGGAGGAAATACTTGCTTATACTTGCTGTATGGTATTTTTGCACTATATATTTCTCTATCTATATATTTGTGACACTGAGTTAATTTGATATTGTTGAAATTTATTTGACTAATCAAAAAACAAAATTAGAAGTTTCAATTGGCTGACAATGTATTTTTGCATGTACTTGTGCTAAAAACCAAGGTTGAGTGTCAGACTAACAATGCTATTATGTTGCACTCATCAAGGGAGCTTCCTTTTATGTGGATTTAATTATTTGTGGTAGATAAGGTTCACACACTTTCTAACTAACTTCCTGACAAGAAAAGTGCCATTCATTGGATTGGATGCTTCCTTTTCTGTTTTCTTATTTCTTCTTGTTAGCAATATTGTATTCTTTCTTCTCTGTGCAGTTGGTTCCCATTTCTATGTACATTGTGTTACTTGGCCTTAAAAGAATTGTGAATACTATCTCCCCCCATTCTCTTGCCCTGTCTTGATATCCGTCTGACTGCTTGTTTTGTCCTTTATTTTTTGTTCTTTCTCTTTTGCTCACACGGAGATATGACTTGAGGAATCCTTGTTTTATGTCTTGCTCACCAGCTTTCTAAGACATCCGACTTCATATTGTTTTTTACATGATCACAGACTACGTTTTTGGCAACCGCAAGTTTGGGGGAAATGCTCAATCTATCATAAAAGGCCGTTGGATCCATCATACATCCTTTCTTTGGGATTATGAGATGATGAACATGGCTTATCTCAAACTTCCAAAACGAGCTCCTGACTATCGACAGGTTTGCAAAATTTTCAAGTTCTTTGTTCTGCTTGGTAAATAGTCTCGTGAGCCTTTTTTTATGAACTTGACGCAGCTGATTTTTGAACACTCTGTTTCTGGAAACACCGATTTAAGTTGTTGGCAGAATAAACTTAATCGTGTTCAAGATCGATGCAAAATTTCATTCTCGTACACTGCAACATATGGAACAACTATGTAATTAATAGAATTACATTATTATTGAATAATTTCATAATCGTACATATTTTTCTCTTCCCTCTAATATATAGTACATTTAGGTACAGAGAATAGATAAAGCATTTTCATATAGAAAATAGTCGTGGTGGTGCTTGCACTGCATGCATACTCTTCTAAGCTGATGGTGTGAAGACCTCTAAGTTGGTGCTGACATCATGGTGAAAAGATGAAGCATGGGTAGTCTTCTCTGTTTCACTTGGCTTGAGGAATGGGTACTGGGATTAATTACTTCGGAAAATCTGCAAAAATTGGCTCATGTCACTGTTAAGGGCTGTCCCAATGTGGTTATAAGATAAATTTACTGAAAGGCTCTTTCATGTGTTCTGAACAAATCATCCCTGAAACTATGGTTGTGGACTTGTGGCAGTGAGCCTAAGAAGTTGTTTACTATCAAGTATACTTGGTAGTTGGCTTGGCTGAAAAGGTAAAGCTAGTTAATCTCAGTTTGCAAGCAGCCACAATGTTGAAGTCTGTGGTACATGCATCGTCATTTACTCACATATGAAATTTCCAAGTTTGTCTTTTACGCCTTTGTAGTCTTCTAATTTCCTGCCTGCATATCACCTAATATATCATAATCTTGAGTGTAAAATACACTCGTGTCCTCTTAACTAACCTCTTGCTTAAGGTCCACATATGAAACTATCCTCTTTTCAAGTGCTCACGTGGGCAATCAAGAACCCAACTATTTCATTATTCTGAATTTTCCCCTGGAGTCATGTCCATACCAGGAATCCAAGTTCCAATAACTGCATGCTGTTGTGATGAGCTGAACCCAGACCTCCCTCGCGATGAGCATGCGCCGCATGCTCTGTGTTTGGTACTGGAGGGGGAGCATGTGATGGACATGCTATGGGACCAAAACATTCTGTTCCAGGCTCCCTGCCTTGACTGCACCGTGCTCTCTTTTCTAGCGATAGTTCCTGGCGATATCACCTCTTTCGGGTCATTTTCCAACAGCCACTTTTTCAATAAATTCCAAGTGACCAAACTTTTTCTGACTATTTTCAGCAAGTTTTGTGATGCCTATTGAATCTTTTTATGTTTTTGACGATAAATAAACTCAAATTGGTTTTCAACCTTAGCGGGCATGTGAGAATGTTAAGTGCCAGTGTTAGAGTGTTAGAATTAGAATTTTGAAAGAATTAAGTTCTTTAGTTGGATATTCTCACACATTGACAAATCTTTATATATGTTGAGTCTGACACCTACAAGTAGGGTTCTAGTATATATTGAATAAACAAGTTATCAAAGTATCCCTTCCTTTTTCTTATTTTTCACATTAGACTTTTCTCTTAGATGTAAATATCTTCCTCAGCTGCTACATCGTAGTACCATTATATCTTTTTTAGCAAACTAAACTAGTAAACTTATTTATTGACGTGTTATTCATAACTTATCAACTAGATGAGATCCACAGTAGTTGGGATCCATTTGTGCTTATCACTGATTCATTTACTCCCTCTCCTGGAGTGGTTGTCCTATTTTTCTTTCTGATATTCAAGTGATATAATCTTTGGCTAATAATTCTCACAATAATTTTCTTCAGTGTTAAGTTGGAAAACTTACATTTATCTGTATTCTTTTTCGTAAATTCTAAATGTCTGAATGTCATTTAAATAAGAATTTTTTATAAATCCACTTAACTCAATCTAAAGTATAATCATATAATTGTAACAAATATTATTAAGGGAAAACAGGAAGATAACTTCTACTTATTATATGAGATCCACTGGGGTCAGAGCCTACTTGTGCCTGTACCAAGGTCTCGATTGGGAAGTTGATGAGTTCCTTATGTGCAAGATAACTAAAGCTATCCATGATTTTATCTTATGGAACGCCGTGTCTAAACAATGCCTTTTGAGGCTCTAGTAGCTAAAGTAAATATGGAGGAGCTCTTGTTTGCCTGTTATGTTTGGAGCCTCCTGGTCATCTCTATGGTGCATTCACTCTAGGCTCTAACACTGTTAACTCACTAGGAGCCTGAGTATTCTGTGGCTTGAAGGTTTCTAGCCAGATTCGTCCCTGGAGGCCTTCTAAGCCACTGTCTCGACTTCTGGACGTAGAGAACATTTAGTCGAGTATCAGCAACTGGTGATAAAACCTATTCCCAGTTCAATCTTGATCAGTCATTTTTTCAGAAATGGTAGTCAACGCAATCTGATGTGTCTGAACATTCTCCAACATCCAGATCATGCTCTTGCTTTCACCTCTTCGAAAGGACGTAACATATTCCCAATCCTAGCGACAGCCGGTGCTTTCTTTGGTAAAGTATTCCACAGAGTATCAAAGTAACAAAAAGTTGTTTCTTTCATGAGCTTCCTTACTGTACTCTAACTCTGTCATTTGATGTCTCTCAACCCTGCTCTCATTTCTGCTTATACTACTTTTCCAGCTTATTTCACTTTAATGCCTCCACATGCTTTTTAGATGGCTTTGCGAACTTGAACTTCTTAGTATTTACTAGTGTTTTTCAGTCGAATTATGCATGCCATGGAAGTCTTATAGCTGAGAGAGACTGCAACATGATAATTACACCTAAGTTCTTTGGCTTGAAGGGATCTTTTATGCTTGAACTTCAAGTTGAGTATAAAATATTCTCATGGTGAAGTCTTGCTATGGTTTCTCCATGGAATTATGCATGTCATGACCAACTTATAGCTGAGCAAGACTGCAGCATGATAATTACACCTATGTTCTTTGGCTTGAAGGGTGTCTTTATGTGTGAACTTCTAGTGAGTTAAATATTCTCACGCTGAAGCCTTGTTCCTATTTTACTCTCATTTGTTACTTCATACTTGACAATATGCCATTTTGGCTCATGAGATACTTCACTACTTTTTTATTTGTACAAGTTACTTTTGCATTGAACATTAGTAATTTGCTTGCTTTAGTCTCTGATGGAGAGTTTGCCTACTGGTTATTCAGGCAAGAGACCATTCAGACTTTATCTGCCGCATGAAGGATTATATATCTCGGCAAGAATTCATAAATAGAACCATATCTGCACTTGACAGCCACTTTTCTGTGACTTCTCTGGAGCTTAAATCATATGACTGTCCTGATGACACGAAATTTATGCCCTCCTCTAGACTGCTGGGAAAACAAGAACTGGAGGAAAGTTTTGAGTCTGAATCTGGGAATGTCATATTTCAGTCACTGTAACTGCTACAAGATAAGAAGACCTTCGCTTGAGGTGCTACTGTATGTCAATGTACCTTAATTGGTTATTCGTCGAGGAATAATTTTCCCTTTTTCCATGAGAGTATTTTTGTTGGATTGGGCTCCTAATCTGGTTGTGGTTGCCTACCTCCAACTCATTCATGTTGCTACTTCCTCGGATAAAAATTCTAGGAGGAAGTGCTACCTTTTACCATTGTGCGTTACAGGGGGCATAATTAAGTCCTTGTTTGTAAGCACATCGATTGAGCGTTTACATTATTAATTCACAGGACAAACCACCATCTTTACAGATACTGTTTGTAATCTGACCATCTCTCTCGCCTTCATTTGGTTGTGGCTTTATTTCTTGCAGCAAAAGGACTTTGCTTCAAAATGTGAGTTGCCTAGACTTTGATTCCAAGAGTTTGTTGTAGCTAGTAGAGGTCTTCAGTCATTACCAGGAAAGAGAAAATTTTCAAATGTACATTTCCTGTTGATTGGTAAGTTTTGCTTTCCAATAATCATAGCTATTGTGTTAGCAAGCATACGCACCATGCATGCTGTCATAGGGGCGTTTTTCTGTCCGCCGAAAATACTGCCAGCCGGTATACTTTACTAGCTTCAGTATAATATACTGGAGACTGGAGCACCAGTGCTCCAAACTTCAGTATATTATGCTGGATCGGTATATTATACTGGAACTCCAGTATACTATGCTGGAATATTTTTTCGGATTCTGAACAGTGTTTTCGTTCAGATTTACATGAAAAATGACTAAATTTCGTTTACTTTTGAAACTGTGGCAATTTTTGAATGATCACTTGTAAATCTGGCTATTTTTGAATTTCTCCCTCTATAGAAGGTAGTTTTCTCTTTATTTATCGAGAAAACTACCTTCTATAGCCCCTTAAAATTTTAATAACCCATGTTTTGTCCCACTTACAGAATATGGCCCTTCGGCCCAAACATATTGCATTTAGTAGCAGAAAAGAATGAGCATGACAACACAAGCGCCTGTAGCTCAGTGGATAGAGTGTTGTTTCGTAAGCAGAATGTCGCAGGTTCGACCCCTACATGGCGCAATAGAGTAACCCTTTTTTGCCACGACTTATTTTGTATATTTTTTGTATAGTAACAGTCTTTTTTTCTATAGTGACGGTATATTTTATATATTTTTTGTATAGTGACAGTCTATTTAGTATATTGACAGTCTATTTTGTATATGTTAGCGGAAACGTAAAAGAAAGAACACAAGATTTAACGTGGTTCGGATCAAAATAATCCTACGTCCACCAGAGAACAGTTGCATTTTTAATATTAACAAAGGAAGGGGAGAGTTCCCAATTACACTTAAGAGAATTTCTCCCTTAACTCTCTACTCACTACAATTTGTTGTATTATTTTTGGGATGATTTCTACAAATGAAGGAGTGCATCTATTTATAGAGGTAAAGACCTCCTCTTGATGTCATTGGTGACATCAAACTACCTCCTCTTGATGTCATGAGTGATATCAAAGGAGGAAGCTTCCTCCTAGCATCCACACCAACTCTTTCCACCAACTCTTCCAATTGGCATGTTATTGTTGATTAAACATAAACCAACACCTTCAATCTTCACCTTGGTTTGCGTTTCGAGTGTGCGTGTGAACAACTCTGGCCAAAACTTCTAAGCTTACTGGGCAACCCCGTTGTAAGAAACAAGAAGAATCAAACCATTGTTGAACATACCACCTCCACCTAACAACTATTCTTTTCGGAGTTGCATCAGTTGATGCATACCCCCGCCAAGTCCTTGCAGTGTGCAAACTTAGCGAGTGGGACTATCTTGGTCAACATATCTGCAGCATTATCGTCTGTGATAACCTTCACGACCTTGATAGTTCCCTCTTCAACAACATCTCGAATAAAATGAAATCTGACATCAATGTGTTTAGTGCGCTCATGAAATCTCTGATTTTTCATTAGATGAATAGCACTCTGACTATCACATCTAAGAGTTGATTCCAGCTGAACCAAACTCAATTCCGCTACTAAACCTTTCAACCAGATAGCTTCCTTCACCGCCTCCGCTGCTGCCATGTATTCTGCTTCTGTCGTAGACAAAGCGGCAATCGACTGCAGAGTCGACTTCCAACTAACGGCACTGCCAACGAGGGTAAAGATGTATCCAGTTGTGGACCTTCTTCTGTCAAGATCTCCTGCATAGTCAGAATCTACATAACCGAGAATTGAAATACCTCCACCACTTTTTCGAAAGGTCAGACCAACACCAGAAGCTCCTTTGAGATATCTCAATATCCACTTGACAGCTTCCCAATGCCTCTTTCCTGGGCTGGACATGTATCTACTTACCACACTTACAGATTGAGCAATATCTGGACGTGTGCATATCATAGCATACATAATGCTACCAATTGCACTGACATAAAGAATCTTTGACATATGCTCCACCTCATCCTCGGACTGAGGCATTTGTAAATCTGAAATTTTAAAATGAAGAGCTAATGGTGTACTTACAGGCTTGCACGTATGCATATTGAATCTCTCGAGAACCCTTTCAATGTACCTCTTCCGAGAAAGATGTACAACACCGTCTTCTCTTGAAATCTCCATACCAAGGATTTTCTTTGCTGCTCCTAAATTCTTCATGTCAAATTCCTTACTCAACAGTTTCTTCAAAGCATTTATCTCTGTAATGTTGTTAGCAGCAATAAGCATATCATCAACATACAACAGTAAATAAATCATTGAGTTACCAGACATCTTCTTGTGATACACACAGCTATCAAATGCACTCCTTGAGAATTCATGTGTAGTCATGAATGCATCAAACCTCTTGTACCACTGTCTAGGGGATTGCTTCAAACCATACAAAGACTTCTTTAGTTGGCATACGTGATCTTCTTTTCCCTCAGCTAGGAAACCTTCAGGCTGATCCATATAGATTGTCTCTTCTAGATCACCGTGTAAGAAAGCAGTTTTGACATCAAGCTGTTGAAGCTCCAAGTCAAATTGTGCAACCAATGCTAGTAGCACGCGAATTGAGCTATGCTTCACGACTGGAGAGAAAATTTCATTGTAGTCAATTCCCTCCTTCTGACTGAATCCTTTTGCAACCAATCTCGCCTTGAACCTAGCATCTTCCACTTCAGGAATTCCCTCTTTCTTTCGGTAGACCCACTTGCATCCAACTGTCCTCTTCCCCTTTTGTCTTTTCACTAAGACCCATGTCTGATTCTTGTGAAGAGACTCCATCTCTTCAGTCATGGCTAACCGCCATTGTGCGGCATCCTTGCAAGAAGTTGCTTCAATATACGAGGAGGGCTCCAGATCTTTAATCTCTTCTTGTGCAGCTACGAACGCATATGCAATCAAGTTTGCTTGATTTATAAGGCGTTCCGGTTCTCGTGTCTGCCTCTTCTCCCTCCCCTTCGCAATTGTGTATGGTTCATTGACAGCAAGTTCTTCAACGTCTACATCTTCTGACTCATCTTTAACCTGAGTCTCTTGATCCTTTTCCTTGGCAAGCTCCACCGGAAGCTCCACCTGCTCGTCGTTCTTGTTTCCCGAAGACTCCACGGAAACTTTACGGGGATCAAGTATAGAGGATTCATCGAAGGTGACATCTCTACTAACTATAAATTTGAGTAAAGACAAACACCAAAGTTTGTACCCTTTTACTCCATCCACATACCCTACGAATATGGCCTTCTTAGCCCTTGGTTCAAGCTTTCCTTCATTAACGTGATAATAAGCTGGACACCCAAATACTCGTAAGTATGAATAGTTAGAGGGTTCACCTGACCATACCTCATTCGGAGTCTTAAAGTCAATTGCCGATGCTGGAGATCGATTGACAATATGAGCAGCAGTGTGAACTGCTTCAGCCCAAAATACTTTGGACATTTTGGCTTGTAGGAGCATACAACGAGCCTTTTCAAGAAGAGTTCTGTTCATTCTCTCGGCAACTCCATTCTGCTGTGGGGTATGCCTGACAGTCCTATGTCTTGAGATCCCATGAACCTTGCAGAATTCATTAAACTCTTCATTGCAAAACTCCAAGCCATTGTCTGTGCGAAGATACTTGATTTTCCGCTCCATTTGATTTTCAACCAAAATCTTCCACTCTTTAAATGCTTCAAAAGCATCACTTTTTGCCTTCAAAAAATACACCCAAACCTTTCGTGAGAAATCATCAATAAAAATGAGAAGATACCTCTTTCCGCCCTTCGATGGAAGTTTAGAAGGACCCCATAAATCTGAATGGATGTAGTCTAGCACTCCTCTTGTCTTGTGTTTGCCAGTGCTGAAGCGAACCTTCTTTTGCTTCCCTAGAACGTAGTGCTCACAGAAGTCAAGTGTGCTGATCTTCTCACCTTCCAAAAGGTTACGATTGCTCAACATCTCCAGTCCACGTGCGCTCATATGACCCAGTCTCATGTGCCATAGTCTTGCCTTGTCATCATTAGATAACTGCACTGTAGATGCATTTGCAGAGCCAACAATGGTGCTTCCGGCCAATGTGTAAAGGCCGTTCTCTAGCTTGCCTTTCAGCATGACTAAAGAACCTTTAGTCACCTTTATAGTTCCTGCTTCGCTCATGTACCTGTAGCCTTGTTCATCCAGAGTACTCAGGGAGATCAAATTCTTCTTACGATCAGGAACATGACGGACTTGTGTAATAGTCCTCACGACTTCATCATGGCAGCGAACCCGAACTGAACCAATGCCAACTATTGCACAAGTTGCATATTGCCCATTACTACGGTTCCTCCACTTTTCTCATAGCTGCTAAACCAGTCTTTTCGGAATGTCATATGCAGAGTGCAAGCAGAGTCTAACACCCATTTGTTTCCATAACTACTATTATTATTACACGATGTTGTTAGTACATAATCATTATCAAAATCATGTACCTGTTCAACTGTGGATGCACTCGCCTTTTCCTTGGACTTTGACATTGGGCAGTCTCGTTCAAAGTGCCCCTTCTTGCCACAACCCCAACACTCTGTATTCTTCTTGTTCACACGAGACTTTGATCTGTGCTTTGATTTGCTCTTTCCCTGTTGGCTAGTCCGGCCTCTCACAAAGATTCCACTTGCCTGGTCATCTCTATCTCCTTCAATGTGCCTCTGCACATCACTAANCTAAATGATCTTGTAACGAAGTACCTGACCCCATCTTAAATGTGTGAAGACGCCGTTGTAACAACATCCTTGTTGTCACTTATCGGTCTTGGTATAGCCCTTCTAGCTTTTCCCATAACTGTTTGGCCGTCTCTTCGGTACCCGTACTCACTTCACAAAGCACGTTAGGTGCAAGGGATAGTTGGATTGCACTCAATGC